TTCTGTTATTAAACTTTCTCCACCTGACACACTCAACCTTACCCATCTTTAGCTCAGTATCGAGATCACCACCACTTGGATTGCCAGCTATGGAATGGGAAAGTTCTAGAAATCTGAGCATGCAGCCTGGGGAGGGTGGGGTTTTGGGAAGGGAGAGACCTCAGTTGGGTATAATGCCATAGAGGTAAAGGTAAAGGTTTCCCTTGCTTGAAAGCCAGTCAAATCTGACTCTAGGGGGCGGTGCTCATCTCCGTTTCCAAGACGAAGAGCCAGTGCTGTCTGAAGATGTTTCCATGGTCATGTGGCTGGAATGACTAGACACTGAGGCACACGGAATGCTGTTACCTTCCCACCAAAGTGGTACCTATTTATCTACTTACAATTTCTTGCTTTCGAACTGCTAGGTTGGTAGGAGAATGCCATAGAGACCACCCACCAACAGAGCACTTTTCTGCAGGAGATCTACAGTCTGGGGATCAGTTGTAATTCTAGATGATCTCCAGGTGAAACTTGGAGGCTGGCAGCCCTGTCAGCACCACCACCCTTATTGTGCTTAAGCAATCCTGACTGTGAACAAGGCAGGGTGCTAAATGAGAGTAAGAGGTAGTTTAAGTAATCCATTATTTGTTGAAGGAAGGTGTTCATTAAAAGTAGGCAAAAGCTTCTGAAATGGAGAAAAAAGACAATTTTGAACTGATGGAGTGAAGAAAAAAATAATTGTGTTTATTTAAGATATATATATATATTACTGATGCTAACACTTTATAGACATTAAAATACACATAGACAATTGGACTTGTAAACCGAGCTTTAGAGATTTCTGTTGGTTACGAATAAGTTACAGGTTGTCCACTCATTCCTTCAAAGGCACCTAAAAATATGGCAGCCTCACTTTGCAAGGAAAGCTGGTGGCAGCCCTGATCCCACCTAAGTCTCTTAACCTATTCGTTTCAACAGGGGATTGCTAATAACTGTTCAAACAAATAGGTGCATTTCTTTATTTGTAACAGACATTCACTGCTTTTAGGATATAGCTTTCTGCAAACTCCAAGTTTGTTGGGAAAAAAAAGTAAAAAGCGATGCACAGATATCTGCAAAAAATGGAATCCAGGCAGACCTGTGCATCATAGCAACCCAAAATGGCATCCAGCATTAACTCAGTGGTGCTGGCCAAAAGCACCCTGAGGAGGAGAAGGAGTCAGTAGCAAGGGGATGAATGTCAATGGGAGAAAAAGCAAAGAAATGACTGTTGTTGGCCAATGACATGACATTATTTCTAGAGTAACACAGAAGTGATGTCATCCCTCTCTAGGTACTGGCTAAAACTCTATGGTAAAATCATGGAGTTTCTGGCCATTTCTACCTAGTGAGGACAGACATCCCCTTCAGGGAAAGCCCAGAAGTGATGCCAGTCCTCTCCAGGAATCACTGTAAACTCTATGGATTTACTATAGAGTTTCAGCCAATTCCTAGACAGGTGTGATGTCATCTGGGTGAAAAGCCAGAAGTGACATCACACTGAAGGCCACCCCCTGGGTCCCCACTCTCCTTGTCTCCTGTTGGTTGCCAGGCTGGGTCTGGCAATCCTGAACAAGTGGCAGAGGGGAGTGGGGAGGGAAGGGAAGGGGGAAGCAGAAGAGGAGACAGCAGGAAGGGTATGGGGAATGAAACAATTTGCCGTATAGTGCAGGGTATAAATTCAATAAATAATAATAATAACAAGTAGCAAGAGGGAGGTGGGAAAGGAAGGGGAAGAGCAGGCAGTAAAGAGATGGGAGGGAGAGGCACAAGGGGGGGGGAAGAAATGGACTAAGCAGTGATGGGAAGTTGGAGGTAGGGATAGAACCAGCAAGAGGATTCGAGCCAGAAGGTCAGGATGAGATTTCTCATTTGCTTTGAGTCCTCCTTGCTAGGATTGCCACCCCCTGGGGACAGTAAGCAAGGTCTGGCCCATGGACACAGGCCCCCCTGGACTTCTTTGCTTCACCGGGAGCAAGGGATGGAGGCGGGTAGTAAAACCCTCCAGAGATATAAGCAAATTCCTAGAGCATCATAATGTCACCGCTGAGGACAAACTAGAAGTGATGTCATGATGTTGCATACCATCATGCAACATCACTGCCCGCCCACCAAAAGCTGCTGCTAGTTGCCAATGCTCAGATGACAACCTGTGCCTTTGCCGATTTCCGCATGTGTTGCAAACCCAATTATGGGTTTCCAACAAAAGATAAAAGTTATTCCTTTTCAGTCATACTCAAGGGTTCATTGATGCTGATTGAGGAGAAAAGGAAATTTTAGATTACCGTTTTGAAGGAGGAGAAGCTGGCCTCCAAAGAATGCTAAACTGAAGTCATTAAATCAGAATTTGTTAGAGAAGGGTCAGTGGCTCAGAGGGAGTGCCCCTGCATTGCCCGCAGAAGGTCCCATTTCCATCCGTAGCATCTCCACATGTAAAGGATCATGTCTGAGGAAAGGCCCTTCTCTGCCAGCAAGTAGTAATGGCTCAGAGCAGACTTTACCTGAGCTAGATGGATTAATGATCTGACTCGAAATAAGTCAATTCCAAATGTTTTATTCTTTTATTGCCCCTGTTCCATTTATTTCTGGAAAGTTACTTCTAGGGTTGCCAACCTCCTGATGGAGGTGGGGTTTCCACACTTTCTGGTCCCTAAAGAGCCTCATCGTGTGTGGGGTGCTTTAGCATTTGGGTTAAAACTTTATGGTAACCATAGAGGGTTTTTTTTACCCAAATGCTAGAATGTCCCCTGCACAACGTGCCTGGTGCGATGACCTCACTTCTAGGTGATATCATTGCAGAGTGTGCACTTTGCGCGTGCAAAGTCTCCAGGAGCTGGGCTGGAGCTCCCCCTGGGACCCAGGTAAGACCTAACAACCCTAGTTATTTCTGTTAGGTCCAATTCACATGACCTTTTGCCGTATGATAAATGTGAACAATTTATTTACTTCATTTATATGCTACTTTTCTCCCTAGTGGGGTCCCAGAATGCCTTACAACATTCTCCCTCCGAAGGACAGCAGTAATGTAGCATAGAGTGACCAGATCACAGCTTTACTGTGGGCCTTCTCAAATGCAAACTGGAGCCAATCTACATCTTGAGGCAAACAACATTCCATGCCAGAGACCAGCAACTGGGTCTGCTGATCAATGTGTGTGTTTTTTTACTCTGGTGAAACAAGGAAAGAGCATGGAAGCAAATTTAAAGGACTGTCAACACATGAGAAGCATAATCAAACTCAAGCAAAGCACTTTTAAGAGCTATTGATTTCAGTGGGGGAATGTTAAAGCTCCCTCACTGAAGATCTGTAAGGTCCTTAATGCTGGTTGGCTCATGTCCAACGTATGTAGAACATCTGAGCTGGCCAGAGATCTTAGTGGCTTAAAGGAGTACTCACCTGCCAGTGGAAACCATCACATGGCAGTAAAATTAGGGATTGTTAAAAAAAGAGAAAAAGTGGGGGACCCACAAAACGTGTGTGGGGGGAATCCAACTCCTCCCATCGCCATCCATCATGACTCCCTTAGGGCCCAGCCACAGAGGTAGTGGTGTCTGAGAGCCGCTCCAAGCCCAGAGGGGCTGCTGGGCTCTGCCACCACTGCAGCTGGGCTCGGAGTGGCTCTTGAGCTCCACCGCCGCTGTGGCTGTACTTGGAGTGGCTCCTGGACTTCACTGCAGCCATGGCCAAGCTTGCTGGCAGCTCCTGAGCTCCGCCACCTCCATGGCCAGGACAGCTCCTGGGCCCCACTGCGGCCATGACAAAGCCTGCCAGTAGTTCCCAGGCTCCACTGTCATGGCCCAGCCCACTGGTAGTTTTCAGGCTCCACTGCCATGGCCAGGCCCACTAGTGAAGGAGAGATGAAGAAGAGATTGGATTTATACCCTGCCCTTCACTACCCAAAGGTGTCTCCGAGCGGCTTACAAACTCCTTTCCCTTCCCCTCCCCACAACAGACAGGTAGGTGGGGCTGAGAGAACTCTGACAGAAACTGCTCTTTTTTCAAGAACAGCAAGTGGAGGAGTGGGGAATCAAACCCGGTTCTCCCAGATTAGAGTCCGCACACTTAACCACTGCACCAAACTGGCCACTGCTGCTGCAGCAGCAAGCACTGGGCCCTTCTCCAGCTGCTCAACATTTAATTCAGAGGGATTTAAACCCTCCAATAATTTTTTTTTTAACTTTTCAGATTTTTCTGCAAACCTAGGCGTCTCCCAAGTTTCCAGAAAAATCTGTTTGGGGGTAAGTGTGGCCCCAATCCGTGGGTTTAGCTATCTGCAGATGGGGCCACACTTGGGAAAGAGAGACATAGATGTTGAAAGAGGAGACAACAGTTTTATATGAACAATGACCATCGGTGTGGTCCTTGCATGCAACAGAGTGTGCTTCCTTAAGAGACATGTTCCATGTAACAGGGGTGTTTTATGACATTAAGAAGATGTGTCAGGACCATTTCCTGACAATTCTGCATTCCCTAAACAGACTGAGCAGAAAGATAAAAAGAATCAAGCTGTATTGTGGGGAAATGAGAATCTAGTTCTAAAGTTTGGGGGGCCTACAAAAAGGTCTCTATAACAGAAGATTGTTCTCATACTGAGAAAGGTGGAAATATAGAGAATCAGGGACTTCTTAATATTTAGCATTTCTATAGTGCATGCAGTTGCTCTCATACATTATCCTGTCATTAAAAGGAAGGACAGAGGGACAACTCAGAAACATAGCATCAAAGCAGGGACATTCCTCACACTGAGACACACTTCTTTTGCTACCCTGGAACTATATGGGCAGACATGTCCAAAGCTATGGGTTGAGGAATTTTTAAGCTTTCCGTAATGCGGTTGTGTGATTTATTGGCATGAGTATTGCTTTCTCTACTTTGTCATCACATTTCTGAAGAAGGAAGTGAAAGTATTTGGTTCTGTCTCACACGCTCTGCAGTTCTCAGTAACTCCAGTCTCACTGTGACTATCCAACACCTTCTGCAGTTCAGCAACCAACCCAGGAGCTGGATTTTACAACGTTCACAACATCTTCCTTTTCTTTGTCATATTTATAGGCTTTAGGTCCCAGAAAGAAATAAATGAATCCTAAAAAAAAGAAAGGAAGGAAATGAAAAACTGCACCTACTAAACCAACAGTGTAGGGTCAGTGAAATCCCCAGCCACCTTTGTGTGGTCGTATCATTTGTTCTGTTTCCACCTACCAGTTTTACTGATTTATTAATACACAATTGCCAGACTATCTGGTTATAAAACAGTAATTTAAAAACTAGGAAGAGATACAGGAGCCTCAGGAGAAAGAGAACTCTATAATTCTACTGAGTTTTGGCCGAGTTTTTTGCATCTGCCAAATATTTGATACCCATCAAACATTCCGTGGCACAGAACCCTGAGCAAGGACTCATGAGAAGATATTGTCAGTGATATCCTTGCTTCTAGCTCCACTGACTTCAATGGACTTGGAAGGGTATAACCCTGTTTGGGATGGCAATTGGACTATCCATAGGGTATTGAAAACAGATCAGCCAATATCATAATATCCCCAGCCACCTTTGTGTGGTCGTATCATTTGTTCTGTTTCCACCTACCAGTTTTACTGATTTATTAATACACAATTGCCAGACTATCTGGTTATAAAACAGTAATTTAAAAACTAGGAAGAGATACAGGAGCCGCAGGAGAAAGGGAATTCTATAATTCTACTGAGTTTTGGCTGGGTTTTTTGCATCTGCCAAAGATTTGATACCCATCAAACATTCTGTGGCACAGAACCCTGAACAAGGACTCATGAGAAGATATTGTCAGTGATATCCTTGCTTCTAGCTCCACTGACTTCAATGGACTTGGAAGGGTATAACCCTGCTTGGGATGGCAATTGGACTATCCATAGGGGATTGAAAACAGATCAGCCAATATCATAATGCCCCTATATAAATCAATGGTGCGACCTCATTTGGAATACTGTGTGCAGTTCTGGTCACCACACCTTAAAAAGGATATTATAGCTTTGGGAAAAGTGCAGAAAAGGGCAACTCGAATGATAAAAGGGTTGGAACACTTTCCCTATGAGGAAAGGTTAAAGCGCTTAGGGCTCTTTAGCTTGGAGAAAAGACGACTGAGGGGTGACATGATCGAGGTTTATAAGATTATGCATGGGAAAGAGCAGGTAAAGAAAGAGGTACTTTTCTCCCTTTCTCACAATACAAGAACCCGTGGGCACTCCATGAAATTGCTGAGCGGTCGGGTTAGAACGGATAAAAGGAAGTACTTCTTCACCCAAAGAGTGATTAACACATGGAATTCACTGCCACAGTAGGTGGTGGCGGCTACAAGCATGGACGGCTTCAAAAGGGAATTAAATAAGCATATGGAGCAGAGGTCCATCAGTGGCTATTAGCCACAAGGTATAGATAGGGGCTCTGGGGCAAGTGATGCTCTGTCATCTTGGTGCTTGGGGGGGTCAACAGTGGGAGGGCTTCTAATGTCCTGGCCCCACTGGTGGATCTCCTGATGGCACTGGTATTTCTGGCCACTGTGTGATACAGAGTGTTGGACTGGATGGGCCTTTGGCCTGATCCAACATTGACGTCTCTTATGTTCTTATGTAAAGCAGCTGGTTCTGAGGTCAGAGTCCATTTTAATTGTAGGCAGGGTGGAATGTGCACTGTGGAACATCCATTTGGCATCTTTACCTGCTTTGCCCTATAATATAAGAACGAAATGACTTGGAGGAATGAGTGTCTCCACGTGCAAAATACTCACCGTTCACCTCCACTGCCGCATCTATTCTGCCATTGATTCCAGAAAATTCATCCTCAGTGCTCCTTGGGAAGTCCTTCTCCATTGCTCTTTTGGCTTCATCAAAGCTTTTAAGAGAGAGGGGCATCACTGAGGGGAATTTACTGTCTCTATACAAGTGGGTTGGTTCCAGTGACTCCCTCTTCATCCAGTGAAGGAATCCTTCATGGAAGAGTGTGATAGGTTCCAGCGTGGTGGAAAGGAAGCCACTGGATCCAAGCCATTTATCAATATACTTTGACACACATTTAAGATATTGGCGCAATACCCAAGATCTTGCTGGAACTGCAGTCACATTTTTCACTGATTCATAAGTACTCTTGAGCAGGCATACAGATTGCTGGTTGGATGAGACCAATTTTGGTCTCTGGCTGTAAATGTATAAGACCACAGGTCGGACCAAGGGTCTAGCTTGTCTAGCATTCTGTTTCCCACAGTGGTTAGTCAGATGCTTCTGAATACCCACGTCCAGTAGAAAGGAAGTGATAATCATCCCTGTTGGTTGAGCTCAGCATCTGATATTCAAAGGTGCAGAGATATTTTTACTTCACTATCATGGCTAATAGTGGTCCATGGGCCTTTTCGCCACAGCATTGCCTTAATCCTTATCTAAAGCCCTCTAAGCCAGTGGCCATTACCAGATTTTGTGGCAATACCACCAGCTGTGTTCTGTAAAGAAACCCTTGCAAGCAGTCATTTGTGTGTGGGCGGAGGAGTGAATTTCTCAGTTCTTCCTTGTTGGTCTCCAGCAGGTCCTCTGTGTTCCACTTTGCTTGTCTTATGGTTGCCTTTGAGGAATTCTATAATTAGTTTTGGAATCTGAACATGCCCACTTCCTTCTGTTTGTTTGCATTCCCCTGCAGGCAGGCTGCTTCTCTGGCCAAACTACCCAAGCTACTGTTTGGGATGGCATCATGGCATGGTCAAGAGGATCCCAATGCAGTGCAGGGGCTCAGCTTGCCCTTGGCCATCAGCTGCACAGGAAGAGGAAATCAGGGTGACAAAAGATGTCAAACTAACCCCGTTTGCAATCCAGTATTTCACTGGATTGGGCCTTTAAAAAAAAGTTAATGGAAAGCTCAGCAAATTACAATTAGGATGCTAATGTTTAATAGCAAGCATATTGGGATGCTATGGAGTAGTGTTATGTTTCTTAGCTGCCATCCTGTTTTATTTGGATGGTTGTTGGTTGGTTTTTTTTTTGGTATTTTTGTATTTGTGTGTGTATGTGTGTGTCTGCACCTGGAAGTCATGTCGACCTCTGGTGACTGACTCCTACTGAGGGCCTGGAGGATATTCAGAGAGGTGGCTCAATAAAGCCTGCCCCTGTCCTTTCAACATGGTATTCCAAGGAGGTCTCCCATCCAAGTACTTGCCAGAGTCAACCCTGCTTAGCTTCCGAGATCTGATGAGATCGGGCTTAACTGAACTATCCAGGTCAGGGTTATTTGGGTGGTTTTTAATTATATAGTCACCTGTGTTTTGTGTCTGTTGTGAGCTGCTCTGAGCCCATCATGAGATAGAGCAGGATATAAGTGCAATAAATAAATAAATAAATAAATATTTTAAAGATTATCATAAATTCACTGCTGAGAAATTCATGCAGAGGTAGAAAACACGTGGCTTTAACACCAGGGTAATTCAGAGGCCAGACAGGTTTTATAGCTTCACCCCAGGTGTCCTGATCCAAGCCCTGTTAAACAGTTCCAATGAGACTCCTTCAGTGTAACTTTAGGGTCTGTACACGTGTAAAAACGGGAGGGGGGGGAGCATGTGGGAGGAACTACACAAAATTTATCAGCAATTGCGTTTTTTGCTCTTATGTAATTAATTTAACGGTTTGCTCTTATTTAATGATGCTGTCATGTACATGGTTGCACCAATTTTTGTTTTAACTGAATCTGCCAAGTGGTTGGTAGACAGCTTGGAGACTCGGTTTCACTGGACTTTGTTAAGAAGAGAAGCTTGCCCATTATATCAGCTTTGGCTAAACCGAGGTTTGGATGTGTGTGTAAAGTGCCATCGAGTTGCAACCAGTGTTCCCTCTAAGATGAGTTTGTGTGAGCTAGCTCACAGTTTTTCAAACCTCCAGCTCACACTTTTTGTCTTGGCTCAGGAAGAACAGCTTCAGAGCAAACTAATTTATGCAGTAGCCAAATCGCTCACTCACAACTTTAATGCCAGGAGCTCACAAAGTAGAATTTTTGCTCACAAGACTCCACAGCTTAGAGGGAGCATTGGTCGCAACTGACTTATGATGACCACAACAAGGGAACTATCAAGGCAAGTGAGAAGCAGAGGTAGTTTGCCACTGCCTTCCTCTGCATAGTCGTCCTTGGTGGTCACCCTTCCAATTACCAACCCTGCTTAGCTTCTGAGATCTGATAAGATTGGGCTGTGCTATGCCTCCTTCCTTCCCGAGGTCTGGATACTCTGGAAAAATTCAGATAAGGTGTTGGCAGATTAGGCATTTCCCTGCTTTCTCCAAGCTACCTGAAGAAACTCCTCTTTGGAAGATCAGGAGAACCTTGAAAATAATATTTATCGCAGAAGTGGGGGGGGACAATGATGGGAAATTCCTTCCCCTCGACTCCACTCTTAAGAAACTGATGAAAAGGAGAAAAAAATGGTCTCCATAGTCACACTCAAGGATTTTCCCCTAGTCTCTATGGTCTTCACCACAAAAATTAAGGAACACTCCTAGAGCATCAACTGGAAGTAACACCACATCCTCCCCAAACTCCACCCTCCCCAGGCACTGCACCTTATTTCGCCTGAGCAGTTTTAGGAACTCTACTGCAGCCTCTCTCCATCTTGTGGCACATTTATTTCTGAGGTACTCTTGATTTTCAGAGAGGTGTATTGGCACAAATAACAGGCTATGAAAGGAAGGCAAAGACTCAAGAATCACCCTGCCAACACCTCCTGTAAGCTCTTCTGGTGGATCCAACTCAGAGCCGCCAGTCTACTGCCAATCATGTTTTAATGACTGACCCGAGTTCTCCTGTTATCTATTTTTAGTAAGAGGCAATGATAAAGCAACCTGTAGAATTCCTCTCCTACAAAGAAGAGTGTCTTCCTTTCATCCTTCAGATAGACAGCTGCATCTATGTGCTGCACATTCCTGGGAAACCCAAAATCTGCAATGGTCCGAGGGGGCCCCTGAATCTGGAACCCGCGAGTTGCCCAGTAGTGAGGTCCTGGCAGACAGAAAAAAATAATAATACATTAGCTGGACGTGCATTTGTAGCTTGAATTTCCTTGTGTGTGTAGTCTAGTTTGTCGTAAACATTTTAAAACAATTTAATCCCTAGTTGAGTTGGGCAGTGGAGGCTTGAATCCAAATTAGCTTTTCTGCAGGCACAAGGGCAGACTCTGTGGAATTCTACCTCACTCCCTCCCCTTGTTAAACTCCACCTTCCCGAGGGTCCGTCCTAACATGGACCTGGCAACCCTTTGTAAGAGAAGCAAACTCCTTACTGAGTTTCCAGGAGGTTATAAAACCTCCCCTTTTCAATGAGTTCCCCCCCATAATTTCGCTGTCTATACTTCGGCAGGCTTTCAAGAGGGTTCGACGAAAGAGGTGTTTTCATTGGACTCTTACGAAAGTGTTCTGAACTTTGAACAATGTTATATGTAAATATTGTTGTTTTATTGGTTTTGCATTTATTAATTACTATCCGTTAGCTGGAAATAGAGGCCCTAAAGCTCATAAATAGATAGAGGGATGAATATACGACTGGTGAGATAAATTTGGCCTAGCGGTTCATAAAACAGGCTTCAGCTATGAATACCCACTGCTCTAAACTGAGCGATGGTGCAAATAGGTAACGACTGTAGCATGTGCCCTTGCTAAAGTTGGGACTGGCACACAGCAAGGGCCAAGCGAAGAGGGTTGCCAACAGGCCAGCAGGAAAATATCCCGCCCCTTTAATAAATGGGCGGAAATGGGCGCTGAATCTTTTCATGGGAAAATCCCATTAAGCCTTTATTGATGGGGGAAGGACATTTTTCCCCCCACCAGGCAGCTGACAACCCTATAAAATGGAGATGACCAGGGGGGCATCTTTTGCAGGCCTTTCCCATTCAAACACGGCGGGGTTATGACTTAACAATAAAATGGGCTTTGAAGTCTCTCCCTGCCCCAAGATTTACCTATTTACTTCCAGTCATTCCAGCCACTTCCTTCTCATCTCTGATACACGAGGCAGCAAGAGCAATGGACAGAAGGGAGACTAGGACGGGGCCAGTTAGAGTTGCCATCCTCCAGGCAGGGCCTGGAGATCCCCTGGAGTTACAACTGATCTCCAGGCTACACAGATCAGTTCCCCTGGAGAAAACAGCTCCTCTGGAGGGTGTCATTTTAGCCTATAGAAGTCTTTCCCTTCCCTTCCCGTCCCCTCCCGAAACCCCACCCTTCCCAGGCTCCACCCCCAAATCTCCAGAAATTTCCCAACCTGAAGTTGACAATCCCAGGGTTGGTGCACCTCTCCTTCCCCATCACACTGCACTTCTAATTGTGTGTATTACACTGATGTCGAGTTAGGGTTGCCAAGTCTATCTTCGCCGGGAGCGGGGGGCTCCCGGCCGGCGTCTTGTGCGTGTGCACGCACGTCACCCAGAAGTGACAGGAGGACACCAGGCATGCTGGGGGCGGGGCCACAGCCATACAAGGGAAAACCATAGAGTTTTCCCTTGTATGGCCATGGCCCCGCCCCCAGCATGCCCGGCGTGCCCACGTCACTTCCGGGTGACGTGTACGTTGGGGTGGAGTTCCCCCCGGGGCCCGATCCGGCGGCACCGGGGAACGTGCCTCTGGGGTGGGGTTTTCCCCGCCCCCCCAGGGGGACTTGGGATCCCTATGTTGAGTTGCAGCCAACTTATGGTGACCCTATAGGGTTTTCAAGGCAAGGGACATTCAGAAGTGGTTTGCCATTGCCTGCCTCTGTGTAGCGACCCTGGACTTCCTTGGTGGTCTCCCATCCAAATACCAGCCAGGGCTGACTCTGCTTAACTTCCAAAATCTGACAAGATTGGGCTAGCTTGCGCTATCCAGGGGAGGGCATTATTGAGGTGCAAAGTCCAGTCCACTGGCTGTATTGTGTTATTTTTATTTCATTGTTCATTAATCGTGTAATCCAGTTTTACCGTAATGCTTATCGCATTGCTTTTATAACCCTGTAATCCACCTTGAGGCTGCTTGAGGCTCAATGATACAGATGTACAATAAACAAATAAAAAAATCATATGTGAATGTGAAAATAAAATCATATGTGTGCCATCATCATTTCTAATGTGGCCCTTGGTAGCCTTGTGAAAATCTTGCTTATTTCTCATCTATTAATAAAAATAGCAGCCATAATAGACTTTCTTAAAGTGTTGTTGAATAAGGATAAAGTATCTCAGTAAATGGTATATGCTTGAGGCCAACACTGAATGGATGAATAATCTTTGTCATAATTGGGTTTTTTGGACTAAACGTCAGTCAGACCACAAAAGTAAACAAACCCTTGAAAAAATAAGCAACTCCTCTCTCAGGTACTTCATAGGCAGCATCTACGTTTGATTGTGATGGAGAGAGGCCGCACGCTTTTTAGTTGAGCTTGTCTCCTCCAGAAGATCCTATTGAGAAGAAAAGAAGGAAGAAGACTCAAAATTAAATGAACAAAGCACTTCACAAGACAGCTTAGAACAGTAAAAATCACTCAGTACTAGCTGGCCAGCCCACTAAGGCCTGTTGGGATTATTATTATTTTTTTTTAAAAAAATGGCTCTGTGCAGGTAGCACAAGTTACTTCTCGGTATTCACCAGAAGTGATGTCATGTTGCCTGTGTGATGACAAAATGATGCTCTAGGATCCTAGAACCATTGAGTTTTTGGCAGTTCTTAGACAGTACTGACATCACTTCTAGGTTTCCCCCTGGAAGTGACACCAGTCCTCTCTAGGAATCTATGGTTTTATCAGAGAGTTTTCTATTCCTAGAGATGACTGATGTCATTGCCAGCAAACATCCAGAGGTTAATGTCATGACTCTCTACATATTACCAAAAACTCTATGGTAAAACTTTAGAGTTTTTGGCAATTCCAAGAGAAGCCTAATGTCACTTCAGTGTTTCCACAGAAATGATGTCATGCCATCGCCAACAGCATTTTTTTCTTTATTCCACTGGCCACTGGAATTCCAGCAGGAACATGGTAGTTCTATATACATTTGAGGTAAGCAGACAATCTATGAGCTGGTCCCCACACCTGCTGGATTCCATTCCCAGACCAGATCACCTGAAGACTTCTGAGATCAACCTACTGGATCCACCACCAATCCTGTTTTTGTGTCTGTTCTAAGGCCCTGTGCAGGTACCAGAATATCTGAATTCAAGAAGTGGAAATTTGCTTCTAACCCAAAGATATCCTTGTTTGTCATTATCAAGCCATAACTACTTACTAAATGAAACCATGTTTATGCATAAGGGAGGGTGCATGAGGACAACTTTCCAAATAGCCTTGTCTGCCTGCAGGTACAAGGTATATACTTATGCTGCCAATTGGTAAACATGCATGTGAGCATTAATTCCTGCTTTCTCCTTCAAAATGCCTGGGAGAAATTTCCAAGAATTCCAATAGCAAAGAATACAAAAATGCAAACTTCACAATGGATAGAAGCAGGGGTGTCAAACATAAGGCCCAAGGGCCAGAACTGGCCTGTCCAGGGCTCTTATGCAGCCTGCGAGCCATTGGTGCAAGGAAGGGAAGAGAACACTGCTTGGGGAGAGGAGTGGGTGGAGCCACTCCAGTTGTGGCTTCAGTGCAGCAGAACAACCTCATCTGCAGCAGTCAAGCAACATGGGAGCATCTGCCCAGCGCTGCATCACTGGCTCTCCAGTCCAGCCATGTGGGTTTTCCTCTACACCCCCTCCCAGTCCATGGGGCCTTGCAGTGAGGATACACCAACTCAGAGCTTACAAGCTGCTGTCCTTTATACAGTTTAAATCTCCGGTACCTGGAATTATGTTTTATGGTACACATGGCCCGGCCCCACAAAGTGACATTTATGTCAGATCTGGCCCTCATAACAATCGAGTTCAACACCTCTGGGATAGAGTGTGTGTCATTGGTCCTACTGCCCCCTTATCACTGTTTCATACCCTTCTTTCCCGGGTACCGTAATAAACAGATCCGATAAACCAGTCAACAGTGAGACTTGGCATTCAGGCTGGTTCTGATTGGACCATCTGGGCGACAGAATCAGTGACCCAACAAGTGACACTTCTTATGAGAGAGAAGAGCAAAAACAGCTACAGAAGAACCATGGCTGAGAGCAGAACTGAATTAGACCAACACTTTGTCACATGGGCACATTCGTTACAGAAAATGAAACGTGCTGTTCTCAATGCAAATTCGATCAACTGGAACTCTTACCTGTCCTTGAAGAAAAGAAGCTCT